TATTGGTGCGAGGGTTTACTTTTTTGAACAGGTAGCTACGAGGTTCGGGTTCTGTTTTGCGGTTATTGTACCTATTGGTTTTGTGGATATTTGTTTCTGGAGAGAGGTGTGGTGTCGAGCTGTCAGCATGTGAATTAGTGTGTGGCACTAGTCTATTATTCTGCGTTGTCTGCGTAGACGAACTGGTAGCCGCATTCTTCAACTTCCTGGAATTAAGACTACTTGAATTGGTGAATACTGGGTGTGATGTACTGCAGTTTGTCACTGGGGTACAGGGATTGTTATCAGAGGAATCTAAATCTACGGTCGATTTCTTTCTTAGTGTTCGGCTATACACTGAACTATTTTTGGACCTTACATTTTCAGGCAAGTTCGTTTCCGAATACGGTGTGCTTTGTATAGAAAGATCCACCCCCTTTTGCTCTGCCTCAACAGAAGTGTGGGTGCCCAGGGGTGTTGTAGAGGAGCTGGGATTTACAGTTTTAGAATAAGTCATTCTTTGGATCGGTGTCTTGTCACGAGCTAATTTAATCGTATGGTAACGTGTATTTTTCAGTAGTGTTTGCCTACTGTAAAAGATGTCAGCATTAGAGGACGAGTCAAATTTCAACACAAGTGGGCAAGATTTATTTTTATGAGACTTTCTAAGTCGATGGCAGCTGCACGAGACGTTATTCATAGAGCACGCATTCAGAATAGTGCTTTTGACCTTGTTAATCTGTGCATTATCCGGTATATTATACACGATTATGTTCTTCTCGCGCACTACACGTTGATATACTTCAGTTGCAACGTAGTTTATCAGGTTTGCGGTTTTTGGTAACTTACTAGGTGAAGTACCATTACTGTCGGTTTCACTAGGTACTGCCAGTTTTGATATCTTAACTTCAAGCCCCCTAATAATGGAAAATAATTCTGCAATTTTATCTTCACAACAAAGTGTAGAACAAGAAACTGGATTAATGCTAGGAGTCAAAATGTTTGCCGTGTAATTCATTTCGCAAGACGTTTTGCAGGTGTCTGCGAGGCCTGGATCATTGCATGTAGTATCACTATGTATACCATCCATGATGTTGTTTAATACGCAAGCAGGTAAAGGGAATTCAACGTCCGGACTTAACGTATCTACTGCAGGAGACCTGTGTTTAGTTGTTAAATCACTGGATGTAGTCTTCACACTTCCTGCAGGCCTATTCATTCTATTCGGTTTGTGTTTTTTACTGGGATTTGAAGCAGACAGTGGAGTTTGACGCTTAGTTTCAACCATTGGCATTTAGAAAAGAGTTAAACTTCTTAAATATAAGAGAATGAGCAAAGTGTCTGTAAGGTCCTTTTTAGGGTGTTGGAGATTTAGATTGTTTAGTTCGGTACGCAATAAGCAGTTTATGTGGATAAAAATACTGGAATATAGTATGAAGACACGCTTAACAAATACTATAAATGCAAAGATGCGATAACAGAAGCACTTAAGTAGACACTAGCTATAATGGACAATTACAGCCGGAAAAGTTATCTTTAATGAAAAAATAGGACTAAGTATTTAGTACTATCCTCAAGAGACCTATTGAAAAGCCGCCTATAGAGAAAAAAAGAACTGAGAAATAACACGCGAAAAAGTAACAAAGCCTTCGAATTGCCGCTTTTGCTTCTACAGACCACTGAAATTTCTTTGAATGACTGGAGACAAAATGGTTCGCAGTTAGCAAAAATGTGCCTTGGAAAAAAAGTGCGCAAATGTCTAAAATGAACCGTAAATGGTATAATTATTACAAAAATTAGAAATACATACAAAGTAAAACTTTAGTGCTTGACGATACAGCACTAGACATAAGTTATCTTTTGACAGCAACAAGCAAGATTGAACTGCTGTGCTACAGGTGTCCAGTTTCTGCGTGAATCATCTCTCCTTATTATTTTAGAAATTAGGCACTTTCTTCACACTATCCACATATCCATACTTAACAAGGATTGTATTGTGTCACCTGGAACTACATATAGTATTCACTCGTGAGATCTACAACCCGGAATCTTCTGACACCCTCTCTAACCACGTGGAACTCAGGATTTTATGCATAGCAAGCACTTTTAAAGGAAAGTCTGAGTTTTTATTTTGCAATATATATCTGTTTGTCGTTGTTGTTTTGATACTTCGATAATACAGCCATCATTTTTATATCCTCAAGACTTTTTTCCGGAAATTGGGAAAATTCTCGTTGCTGTAATGTTTGAGTCTATCAAACGTGTAAGTACCGTTAAGAGATCTAATTATCGTCAACCATCTGAAGGCCTCAGCTCCGTTGACGATTCTACACTTTTGACACCAGACACACCCAGAGTTATGGTATCTGTTACATGGAGGAACTGACAGAGAATGCGGCTTGTAGCAAAATGATTTACTGACACTTCAGAAGTCAATAGAAGACCTACAGAGCAAGTTTGACAGCATTATGCCCCCTGTGTGACCCATCACAAAAAATCTATCTTGAATCACCTATCAAATCCGAGTGCATAATTGACTATTTGGCTGAAGAAGCTGTTAAGAGGATAATGTCTTCACATAACGTCTTGGCCTATAACATTCCAGACCGAGAACCTATTGCCAAACTTAAAACTTCATGTCTAAAGGCTTGTAATATGTTGCTGACAGAATGTCAGGTTTTGCGTCTAACAAAGAACTCAGCACAGAGGTGCAGCAGTTTGACTTGTTACATTACACACTTGAAAAATATTATATTTAGTTGGTAATAAGCAAAAAGTATTTCATCAGACATGTTCCCACCTGGCATCTAGGCTATGGCATAAAGTAAACTAACTCATGAGATATGATTAGAAAGAGTGTGAAACTTAACTCGGATGAGAGGAGAAATTATTGTAAGGTAACTCTTTTTTTCAGTTAGACAAGAACCAAGTGAAAAAATACGATTATCATTTGTTGATATTTCGGTAATTATTATCCACTTTTTAACATTTCTTCATACCCAGACTATATGTCATTCTGACTGACTGACTTTCAACAGAGAAGCTTGCACACAACTGCACCCGTCCAGATTACCACATTCCATGTAGCACACAAAGGTAGAGAAAAAAATTAAATGGAACTCTAATTAGCATAGATGTGAGGGAGAAAGGATAGTGATAAGAATACAATATAAGAGTTGATTAGATACGCGAGACTTTACAAAGTGACAGTGACTTGGAGTCACATCTTTGACTAACAATATATTCTGAACCTCATATTATACTAATTAACACAGGAGATCGGGCGGAGACACCTACGACCAAACACAAGTAGTCTTTTCATACCTCCCAGCTTCATTGGTCACTTCTCATAAACTAGGTGGACGAAATCATCGGCATACTCCAAGCTGACGAGGCCGTTCCATGGTAATTCCCTAAAGTCAACGACAAAAATTTTATTACTATATGTGTGATGAAACTGAACTAAAATAAGGACGACAGTTGTAGAAATGAGCCTTGTATTACATCCTGCTTGGAAATATGAGTTCCCTCATAGTCTAGTTTCAGTACTAAGGGAATAGAGTGCAATCTGTAAAATCCATGAATTTCACAAAATGAAGTACTGCCTTTACAAAAATCCAGTTAATGTTTACTCAGTTAAGTGAGAAATGGGCATTGTGGTGTTTTAAACTCAGTAGATTCTGAACTGCTGCCAATGAAAATGACAACAATTCTTACAATCATGGGTTGTAATTTTATCTTGATTGCGACACCCAGCGATTGTTAAATGACCACTTGACGAGCGTAAAATCAGTTTAGGAAATGCATGAGATTTAGTAAAACATGTCTATTCCTTGATTTCAATATGAAGTCTCCATGCCAAATGTATTACTGTAGAAGTCTATACAGTTCACAAATTAACTCATAACAGTGAAGTGGAAAAACTTCTATTTGTCCTTACCAAACATAATATGGAGTCTTGTGAAGTAATTCCTGTGTTATTAACTCCCTTATGCAGAAGACAGGACAAGGCATTCATAATCTCTGGCATAATGTGGAATTGCAATGCAACTCTATCCACAATAGTATTCACACAAATAAAATGAAAAATTAAGCCCTCTTTGCCTTCCGAACAACCTGTTTTTATTCCAGCTAAGATAATAAATTTCTCTGACGAATGGGCCGAAATTACGTCTCTGAAATCGAAATATTTTAGTAATTAAATCTATCATTAAAATAAAGGCCACTTGAAACACTATTTCACAACAATGCTGCATATTATAACCATAATGTTAATGTTTTTTGTCTTAAAATGAAATGCTGAGTGTTCGGAGTGAACGGAAACTGAAATCGATGCTAAAGTGAAGCTGTGAATACTAATAACTACCAAACAAATTAAGACAATGGCATCTCAATAAATAGGCCGAATATACCAGTATAATTACATGAAAACTCAGAGATATACGTTCAAATTTTGAAATTCCTTCGTTACTTAAGCCATCGCATCGCGCAGATATCAGTATCAAGAGACATTTCCTGGTACAAGTGCAGCTAATGTAATGCAGTCCAAGTATATTGTGCCACCGATATTATGTGAGTCAGAAATGTTTTTAGTACAAAATTTTAGTTAAAAGGCATTAAAAAAACATAACTTGTTACTAAACCCACATAGCAACATATATTGACCCTACAATTAGCGGGGGTATGCAATAAAGCCTCTCGGTAGTGTGGGTACACTAGGAAAAAGTTGGTCGTGGAAATTTTTCAGGGAATGGGAAAACGGAGAAAGGTTGTCAGTATGGCCATAGTGGGTAAATTATGTAGCATTTTACTCACTTATCTGGCGACCAAAATTGCCTGTTTGGCCCTCGTTTTGCCCACTTTCCCCATGTGCATTCTCCGACTGCGTAAATATTCAACAATATGATTATATTTGACGATAGACATTTTTGCAGTTGAAAGTCTGAGTTCTAACCCCACTTTAGTCTGAAAAATTCTCACTATCTAAGTTTGTTGCATGAGGATTGAACACGGAATCCAATGCGTCATTTGATGCATGCTCTACTTTCTAGGTCACTATGCTGTCAGCTGGACGAAGAAGTTTGGATTATGTGTTATCGCTCCCAGTCCTACGACATAGCTCTACGAAGGTGAATACTTTTGACATAGCTATTATCGGTGGTGGAATTGTAGGTCTAGCTACCGCTCGTGAACTAATTTTGCGGTATCCAAAACTCAAACTTGCTGTGTTAGAGAAAGAAAATGACTTGAGTTTGCACCAATCGGGTCACAATAGTGGTGTCATTCATGCCGGAATATACTATGCTCCAGGTTCCTTGAAGGCAAAACTGTGCGTAGAAGGTCTTAAAAAGTCTTATGAATATTTAGATGCCAATAGTGTGCCATACAAAAAGTGTGGGAAGTTGATTGTTGCAGTCAAGGAGTCAGAGCTTCCCCGTTTAGATGATCTTTATGATCGGTCTCAAAAGAACAATGTGCCTAATGTGTCTGTTATTCCGGGTGAAAAGATCAAAGATATTGAGCCAAATTGTGTTGGGCTGAAGGCCATTCACTCTCCGGAAACTGGAATAGTGGACTGGAGAAAGGTAGCTTTATCCTATGCCAAAAATTTTGTGTCATCTGGCGGGACTATTCATAAATCGTTCAAAGCGGATGCAATTTCAGAGTGCAGTGAAAATGTGGATTATCCAGTTCTGATTAGGAATGCACAAGATAATCCAGGAAATGCCAGTAATCATGTTTCAGAAGTTGCCTGTAAGTATGTCATCACATGTGCAGGTTTGCAGTCTGATCGAATTTCTCAAAAGACTGGCTGTTCTCCTCACCCAGCAATAATGCCTTTTCGAGGTGACTACTTGGTACTGAAGCCAGAGAAATCTTCTTTAGTCAAAGGAAATATATATCCTGTCCCTGATCCACGTTTTCCATTCCTTGGTGTTCACTTCACACCACGCATGAATGGTTCTATTTGGCTTGGGCCGAATGCTATCTTGTCGCTTGATCGAGAGGGCTATGGCAGATTCAGTTTTAATTTCAAGGACTCGAAAGATGCTATTTTTTACCCTGGATTTCGAAAACTTGCATTTCGTTACTTACGGTTTGGTGTCAATGAATTTTTGGGTGGAGTCTTTATTGGTCGTCAGATAAAGCAACTTCAAATGTATGTACCTAGTTTAAAAGTTAGTGATGTCATTAGAGGCCCGTCTGGTATAAGGGCTCAAGCTATCGATCCCAGTGGAAGTTTAGTCGATGACTTTGTAATTCATTTTGGTGATAGTCAAATTGGCAAAAGAGTTATGCATGTACGTAATGCACCATCTCCTGCTGCTACTGCTTCCTTGGCTATAGGCCGAGTTTTGGCTGATAAAGCACGGGAACATTTTGAACTTCCTCCTGGGGAACCAAGAAACTTTGCTTAGTAGTTATTTACCAAATCCTACATACACTCAATGGAGTTCCGCACCTATCCATTACTATTTCTTATTTTTGGAGCAACTGTTTTAGTTTCTTCTTACTTTACAAACACAAATAAATAATATCTTTCACGTTATTTATGTCAGTAATTGCCTCTAATTACTTTATTTTAGAGAGTATTTAACTTTTTTGAGGTGTGCTTTCAATTCCTTGTATAGACACTGAATATTAGTAACTTTTAGTGATCCTCAATTTTCGATCATATGTATTTATTTAAATGGACTCTAGTTTGCAGTAGGTTATGCTCCCATAACTTTAGGATACTATTGTAAATGTTTTATGACTCTGTTTGTACTTACTTATCCAAACTGCATACTGTACTTTCAAGATAAGAGTATAAAGAGGCTTTATCATTAATGGATGTATTTTTATTGAGTTTCTGGAGCTCTTAACAGAAGTTACAAACTAGGCATATGAATGTGCATCACGCCGTAGATTTCAAAATATTCTTACTGTTATTGTTTAGAATGGATGTTTGTTATCTGATTACAATCTTTGGATATTGTAGTCTCTCATCGTACCGAAAATGTTATGTAGATCTAACAAGTTATGTCAGCAACTTCATTTTGAATGGTTGTGGTGGAGACAGTATACATGGACGATTTATCAAATTTAGGGATTGTGAAGATGTAGCTTATTTCTTCAAGCACTCAACTTTTAGTCAATATGTCCTGGCTTCGAATCTCGCTTCACCTAATTCAACCTAGTTAACTGCGTAGTATCGTCAGCTCTCACACAACAAATGTGTTTCACAGTTTGGTACATGAAAATTATGTTCCAAGTAGGTAAATTCAAGCAACAATTCAAACAGATTTAGGATTCAGAGCATGTGTCGGGAGACAAAGGCTGGTATTTCATGGATAAGTGGTGTCAGCAACAGTCCCAGACCACATGACAACACACTTGTATCTACACAGTCCTATCGTAATGCATTTCACTTATGACATTGATTGCTCTTCAAGCGACTTATCATAAAATATGTGTTACTCCTGTTTACTGGTTAGGCTAAGGAACAAATATTATATATCTTATAATGTGTTTTGGTTAGTCAATCCCAGCTATTGTATTGTGATAACAGTCAGTAGTTTTGTAGGTGTAAGATAATACCTTATAAACGTTTATGCGAACAAACTTTATAAAGTCTTCTGGAAATTTGTGTGTTGAACAAACTGATGCCAAAATTTAACTTTGTGCAACTGAAGTCACCTGCACGTTTTCTCCTAATAGTTTCCAATAAAAATTGAACATACTTGTACTCCGTTGAAATTTATTTTAGTATCTTAAACAGTCTGCCAGATGTTTACGATTCGCCAAACACATTAGGATAAATTTTTCATTTGTCGGACTATGAGCCACATGTATTATCGCGAGATCAGACGATACTTCCCCAGTTAAAGTAAGTTAGATAGGATTGGAATTTGGGACTTGTTGTTTAAAAGTTCTGTGCTACGGTCAATGAATGACATATTTAAAAAGCAAGTCGACTGACATAAGAATTGTGATTGAGAATCAGGATAGAGTGGTATACATAACAGCCGTTTTTTAAGAGACATACTGTGGAAATTGTCCGTATTTAGCATGGGTCACTCAGAAATAGGCTTGTTATCAAGAAAATTACTAATTGACTTGCGCACACGATGCAATGCTGTTAGGTGAAGACATTAAGAAAGTATTTTTTTCTGAATGGCCCCAGGAAAAATTAGAATTAGTTTTGAGTGGCTGCTGAAAATGTAAGATATTTTTGGTTTTAAGTCATAGGTGTCTTTGCTCCACTTTTCTTGTAAGATGAAAACAAATAATGAGTAGTGTTTAAATAAAGTGTAGAGTGTTAAGTAAGGAAAATAAATCAGTTAGTATGGTTTTGAATCTTTGTCGATTAGTGTGTTAAGCATGCTATGCTAGCTGAAATGAGCGTAGGCTGGAGAAGTATGAAAAGTGGTCAGACCGAAACATGTGTTGAATCCATGAAGTTCGAGCTGTATAAGCAGGTGTAGTTAAATGATTGATGCGTCACTATATGGCTTTGCTTAGAAATATATCAGTTCAAGTTATTTTACTTCAAAAACCGAGTAAATGAAGGGAACAGAAGCGGAACTATAATGTGATGAAAACTGTAGGTGAATAATAATCAAATGAAGAAGAGAATAATCAAATGAAGATTGGTGAGGATTTAAGAGATCTAAAAAAAACTAACAGAATGAGTACATCTCCGCCACTATGAAAGATGTGCTTTTTCACCAAGGGTCTTCAGTGATTGATTATTAGCCCACTAAGAACCCCAGCTACTCAACCCACAGTTACATTATACTGGGGCTAAACACTACTCGTCAGTTAAAATAAAAATAAACGGAGTTAGGAAATGAACGAATAGAAGTGAGCTGAACGTCTTGGGTGTTGCTAGTAGTTGAGATTGTAGATGTAGTACACATTTAGGTACAGTCAGTAATAAAGGTAATTTAATTTTACCTAATCATTTAATATATTCTAAAAAGAAAGCCTGTATTAGAACAAGACGTATAAGAGAACAATATTGTTTTCAATTAGATCTTCTTCAGGCTTTACTCTAATTTACATAGACTTATATATGAAATTTATAACCAATGACGGCGATTTTGGGAATCAAATGATAATAATAACGTGGTAAATGTTTTGAACGAAATTAATAACCATGATTATAAAGATAACAAAATATTGACAATAAGGTTTATGCAGGTGATAAGAATAACAAAGATAACTCCATTATGGATAAGATTTTATTTTCATAAATCACACAGTGTTACACAGTAATATTAACTGATGACGTTTCGAGCACAACTTGATATGATTATGAGCAATAATTTGTGCTCGAAACGTCATCAGTTAATATAACTGTAGAACACTGTGTGATTTATGAAAATAAAATCTTATCCATAATGGAGTTACACTCTACCACAGTGCCCAGGTTTTATACTTATATCAATAACAAAGATAGTATATGTATATGTGTGTATATGTAGACAATTCAATAAATAAATAAATTAGGTCAAATCTTAAAAGGTGAAGTGGAACGATAATCAGAGTTTAAATAAATATTATAAAAGTACGAAGGAGATGGAAGATAAGAAAGGGTGGGAGGGTTTTGAATAGATTCCACCTAGGCCAAGGAAGAAACAAAGGTAGAACAAACTTCTTTTTATGCAAAGACTAGGATTGTTCTCTCGAATTCCCATAGCTTCGGCTGGGTGTAAAAGACGGGTTCTGATTCCATTCGAAATACTCGGTGGAATGGGATAGATAACTTTGAAGGCACTATTTTTATCCACTTGGTGACCGCTATCAATCAAATGAGCCGAAATAGAACTTCGTATGGATTTTATTTGATCTTTTCCGAACCATGAAGGAAGATGCTCATTAATGCGTTTGTTAAGCTGTCTAGTTGTTCGCCCTATATAGCTGTAACTGAGGTGGATGTTATGTTCTCTAATGTGAGTAGCTTAATTGCAAAGCTTACATTGTCCTCCTGAAAAACGTATTCACTGTTAAATGTAGGGTGAAGTGGGGTTTCGGAATTCCCTAAAAATGATGTGGCTTTTCATCCCAATGACTTTGATTGCGATTAGTTATTTTTGGAGTTTTTGTCTTTATCCTCACTCGTATTGGTATTAGTCTTTTCGTTGACCTGCTATTTGATTATTCGTTCCATATATCTGACTTATTCCTTATTGATTTATTTATTTGATAGATTTCGCAATGTCTGCTGCCTCCGGAAATTCCCCACATTTGAGTGCTTCTTCTGTTTAAAATTTCTACTTTCACCCTGTCAAACTATTGTCCTTAGTTGTTCACATACGTGGATCGATACTGGGGGATATATGTTATGTCTTTTGACCGCTAATTTATTTTGGTTGGGAAGAACACTAAAGCGAACGTCCATTTGACCACTATAAGTGGTACAGTGCATCTTACACATGGTGCTAGATTTATCATCTATTTTTATAGGATCTTCTGGTGTAGATAATATTCAGTGAAAAGATTGTTAGATTGTGGGCCATTTCTGTTCCAAAAGATTTTAGCATTCTGACAGGGATTTCAGAGATGTTCTCGTTGAGTGGTAGGATGATTCGTCTTGTATTTTCAAAAGATGATTTTTTATTAGCCGTTTGGTTTGAGTGTAGACATTTATTATGAAGTTGCTTAGGTATCCATTTTCGTTGAAGACGATCCTCCATATGATTATCAGTAGTGGTGAGTAGATTTCCGTTGGCCCACCAGAAGTTTGAATACTACTTCGTTCACTAAGGTTTGATAGATTAGGTTGTATGGCTAACTGCTACAGAATAGTTTTATCACATAACATGGGACAAGGCCTTATGGACCGTTGTTAAGCTGTGTCGTTACAATAATCTAGTGACTTATTACACGTTAAAGTCCTAGTCGCCTTCTTCATTTCGGTGATGGACGTTGGAATGTGAGTCAATGATTAGGAAAATAGACTGTATACCTAAATATTGAAGATTACGCCACAAAATTATTGTTTTATAGTATAATTTTATAGTCAGTTCTATAAACTTGAAATTTATTTATTAAATACTGTCCAGTGTCTCTTAACTGACTAAAAAGTTGTCAAATTAATGAACAATGATCGTAGGTGAAATGAAAATCTGACAAGATTCAAACTGACAGACTCCGTGTTTCTACCCCAGCTGTCTGTCAGTTAAGCTAAGGGACCCATTAGTTGACATTGTCGTTGTTTCAGTGTAGTTATCAAGTAGAATGTTCAGCTGTCATAGTCTGATCGTCAATTAACGATTCTCCTCTTCTTCTAGTACAGTATGATTAGGATTGACTAGAGAAGACCTATTTGGGTATCCGGTGTGGTGATAAACGGAAATTTGCGTGCATTTCATTTACATGACAGCTGAGCATTAACCGTGATGTTTGTGGTTACATGGTGACATGGTTAACTGATGGATGTCGTTTGTGAATTTGTAGAGCGCTGGACTAGTTATCCTGAGAGTCCTGTGGTTCGAGTCCTCTGACGATCTAGACTCTTATCTTATCTTCAATCATTACCCATTATTGCATCAGTCGTTCAATTGTAAAGAAATCTTCATTTTCTGATCTAAATGCTTTTGTTAAGAAGTCGTAATTTACTTTATACTGTAGTCGTAATCATAAAAGGTGTACACTGATAAATTATAAAACAACTGGTTACTAACATCTTACATGACCGATGAAAATGTCCATTTTATTGGACAGCTAGAAAAAAATATACTAACATCCACATTTTTGTAAATAACAAAAATAATTAGCTACTTGTTTAACTAACTAAGCTTGACTTGCTTTCACTACCGTTTTCAGTAGTATAGACCAA